TTCTCATGGGGACCTTGGTAATTCTTGGGCTGCTCTCCATCCCCGATTAATTTCCATCATAAATCAAATAAGGGAATGGGAGTAAAAATCTATTTGCCACTCCTATTATCTCCACAAATTCACTTATGCAATTCCCTAGCCTAAGAGCATCTCTAGCCAATCCCTTATATTTAGCTTAACTCTCTAAAAATATCTTCATCATTTCTTCTAAGTATTGGTTTACGTACTACATTTCAACTACATATTTGCACACATTTAATAATGAAGCTTCACACAATTGATGGATATTACAAATTTAAAGTTTACAAATCATATTATTCAAATTCGAACACATAAACGAATCATAATGAAGAAAGAGCATGACAGAAGCACAACAATCAAGTGCTATGGAGTGCACTTTGATGCTCAACAAGATTATCTTGGAGTTAGGTACAAACTTCTTAGTTTTTGGTATGTTGATGCGATTTGGGGAATCTCCGTATCCTGTTTGGATGGTGTTCCGCCTCAACAGGATTTGGAAATGTACCTAAAGTTTTTTTGTATGAGTCTCTCATCTTCAATGTTCATGTTATGCAAGATGATTCAACATGTCATAATTTGTCATAGGATTCATGGTTCCAATACTCAACAATGCTACGAATGATGGCAATGCATATGAAGCACACCGAAAGCTCTTTCCACATCCTTTCTTGCCGGCCCTTGACACATTTCAAAGTGGGATCTCTTGTTGCCTTGAAGAAGCGATACTGTCTTCACAAAGTGACCCATGGAGGATAGATACCATCTGCAAGGTAGTAGTCCATCTTCTATAGACGACCATTGCCAACATAACTGCAAGGAGGAGCATCTTCAGCAACATGCCTTCTGAACAGTATTGATCTCGACAACACATTTAGGTCATAATGAGAGCCAGACAATCCAAAGTATGAATATCAAATCCATAGATCCTCTGATGCAACTGCCTCAAGAATGATTGTTTGATCTTTGGACTGGCCTTTGTAGTGACTTTTCCATCCACAACACAATTCTTCCATGTACAGTGAATACAATTAATTGATCCAAGCATCGGAGTCCATTCTCGTTATTCACTCAAACCCAAGACTCTCTTGGTGTCTTCATCATTGGGTGCCCTCAAGTACTCCAGATCATAGATCCCAATCACGGCTTGTGTGTATCTTTGAATGACCTCGAAGATTGAATCTTCCCCAATGCAGAAATAGTCATCAATGGCATCGACTGAACACAGGCAAGCACTCGAACAACCGCGACACACTTCATCAATGTGCTCTCACTTATCTCCCGATGCACTCCTACTTAATTTAAACCATGGATCATGCTTCTTCACAACTTTTGCATTGGTGAGGAAGAGACCCATCTCACTTCTACTGCTGATTTCGATGTCTATGTGACCCATAGAAAGTTGGTCATATAATACATACATAATTTTATGTATAACTATAAGAAAAAGGAAGGGAAATTGTATAACATTAAGAAAGCTCGTGGGTTAGATATATAGAAAATAAAAGGTAGAAAATGATTAAAAAGAGGGAATTCCTAATCCAAAAAAAAACCATTTTGGTCTTAGTGTGGCGCTTACCCCCTGAACTTTACATGATAGTTACCACTTATCATACAGCTTTCTAACTCCACTACTTTTTCTGGTCGTTCCGCTCTGCCGGATCGATGGTAGTCTCAGAGATCTGGTAACCTCTGACATTCGATGCGCTCAGAATCGTTGACGGGAATACTTCTTTCGTATAGGTTGAACTGGGATTGAAGTAATCCTTCATAAGCTTCTCTATTTTGATTGATGTACAAATGGACGGACTGTGATCCTAGTCTTGATCACTAAAAGTTCCCGTTAATGATCACGACAATGGCCATTTCAAAATCATCATCGTCTTCTTCCATGTCGCCTGACAAAGATTCGTCAAAGAACATCTCCCTCAACATATCCATCAACACGATGCAACATTCTAGGTCAAATTTGATAGCAAAAACAGGAAAACATAATGAAACAAGGCAAAAAATGCACCTAGTAAATTCTTCAAACACTTTCCGGGCGAAGGAGGTGAGAGCCTTGGCCAGCAAGGTTGAGGCGTTGCCGAGGCTAGGGGTGGACGACATGCCTCTTAGGTGGAAGATTCTCCTGAAACCGTGCTCGCAGGCTCGCCAAGTTTGTCGCGGCCGAACTGCCTTGTTCGGAATTTTGCCAGCCTTGTTGCGATTCCAGCACCACCTAGCTCCTCCGCAGGTGCTCTACGTCATATTCATTATCTACTAGATCCGTTTTGGAACAAACCAAGCTCAACGGTTGATTTTTTTTTCGCCCACGGTCTCAAAGTGGCGACGCCTGGGTCGATTCCGGTGATAGTAACGAGCAGCGGGCGAATCGAAGTGCAGGATGGCCACGGAGGCTACTGGTGTGGACTCCGGAGGTAACACCAATGTCAATGCAGTGCCAGCTGGGGGAGAGGGCCGGCGCGGGGGTGGGTCGAAATTATCCTGAGAAGTGGTTGTGGCCGAGTAAATTTGAGCGCCAGCCACCGCGACACTTATAATTTTTGAGGAGTTAAACTTAACAAGGGTTCGTCAGGTTTAATTCCTCAAATTTTAAAATATAAGGAGGTGAACATGCTCAATTTTTGAGGAGTTAAACTTAATACGGGTTTGTTAGGTTTAACTCCTCAAATTTAAAATATAAGGAGTTAAAGATTTTTAAATAATAAGCTAGATATGCTCAATTTTTGAGGAGTTAAACTTAATAAGGGTTTGTCAGGTTTAACTCCACAAATTTTAAAATATAAGGAGCTAAAGTTTTTTAAAGAATCGGCTAGACATGCTCTAAAGGTTACCAAAAAGACTGTCAAACGTCAGCTTAAAATCGGCTAGATCTTTCCTGAACACACGCCGACTCTTTGTTTGCGTGCATAAAAGATAACTTAGTTTGCGGTTAAAGCAAGATATTTTAGTTTGTACTTCATGGTTGGGTACATAGTTACTTCCTCTGTTCCAAAAATCTCATCCCAAATTTGTTTCTCGAACGGATGTATCTAGCATTAATTTTATGCTAAATACATCCATTTGAAGAATAAGTTTTTTTGGACGAAGAGAGTAGGTATGTACGTCTTCAAGCTTAGCATGCATGCATGTGGTATACGTAAGTACCATACTAGCCAATGTTCGTACAGATAGAGAATCCCGGGAAAAGGCAGGGATTGGAGTCTTGTACCTGAAGACTGCCCCAGGAAAGCGACCAACCCTAATTATTGCACAGGGAATTCGATGCACCATGCAAATACTCACACACACATCTTTCTCCTCTCTCTCTCTCTCTCTTGTATCATACAAGCTGTGTGTATGGGGATAGAGAGATCTAGACAGAGAGAGAGGGAGGAATCTTCTTAGCTTCCTGCCCACTTCCTCAAAAAGCTAGGAGTAGTAGCAGCAGGGGAGATTCTCACTCACACCACCCTCTTTATCTCTCTAAAGCACGCCCCATGTCTCCTCCCTTTGTGTCCTTCTTTGGATGTGCTGTATGTTGATACCCCCCAAAGCCTAAGATATTCCTTGCTTCAGCCATGCTAATATATTCCCTTGTGAATGCAAAGTGCACCGCCAGTGCAGTTCGCGGTAGTTCTTGAGGCATATAAACACATGTGTTCTTGCACACACAAACTGCCAATTAAGCAACGGTGAAGAAGAAGAAGAGGAGGAGCTTGTGTGTGAAGGGATGCGCCACCCTTTTCAAAGCAAAGAGGGAAGAATCTTTGCATATCTTTGAGGGCTTGAAGATGTGTGTGGAGTATATGCTTTAGCACCCCTTTTACCATTTCCTCTCCGTTGATTAATCATGCAGGAATCATTCACTGGAACCCCAGAAAACAAAAGGTGGCCACTGTGTGTGCGAGCATCTCTGCATGATATGGTTTCTTTAGACGTGATCAATTAGGTTTATGATGAATTTGCTTGCCTCCTTTTGGTTTTTGTTAGTGCAAGTAGCAGAGGATGGTGTGATTCCCGTCCCGGCTAGCTAGGTATATCTGGTGATTATCCCTTCGTGTGCGTGTCTGAAACCATTCAATATTGTTAATGGTAAAGGTGAAAAATATTCTTCAAGACACCTTGCTGGTTCTCTCTTGGACTTGCAAGGTTCTCTTTGGACTACTTTGAGGAGGTCACCTTACACCTTTAATTCTTTTGAATCAGGAGCACCGAGAGAAGCTATGCTAACTTCCTGTGGGTGATGGGTTGATTCCCTGCCGTAAAAACGATTGTAAAGTTTAACCTAACACAAAAATGAGGCATCCATGTGAAAAGATTGACCGGGGAAAATACATCGTGTGGCGCTGGATGGGTGGCCAGACTTTCAGCATGACAAGACATAGCCAACAAACCAAAGGTTTCCAGATTTTCATGCATGCATGATGCCCAGAGATATTTGATGTATATGCTACTTTCAAGGGCATACAAATATACCCCCGCAAAAAAAAGGGCATACAAATATATGCATATACCAGCTAGGTTCATTTGATCTTACAGTGGAGAGACCAGAAACCACGTGACCCCATCTGTGTCAGGTGTGGTCGCCTTGCTAGTTGCTACGGGCTACGGCTATATCCTACTGCACCACCTTGCAGTACATGAAACCTCCTGCATGCATGCATATGCATGCAGAGGATTAGCTTTTGGCCCCTTTGATCTTTGCAAGAAGTTACCATGCCCTTGGCTTTATCCCTCTAGTCTAGTCTGCAGGTCTGGTGGTCTACAGTGCCTAGATCAAAGTATCAAACACACACATACATACAGGGAGAAACTTTTCCTTTTCACCCCCTCTAAATCCGACTTTATTCTCTCTTCCCTCCCAGAAATCACCCTTAAAAACAAGCCGATTCCACCCCGATCCCCCCATCCACACACACACACACCCCTTGATATCTAAGCAGGAGTAATATACTGGAGCTTCCCTAGCACCTCACTAGCTGCACCACTTCACACACATGGACTCCTCGCCGTCTGACCTAACCCTAGACTACACCCCCAACGGCAACGGCACGGCAGCTGCCGCCGCCGGCTACCCGAAGCAGGCGTCGCCGGTCGTGGACCACCACCATCATCTCTCGGCGGAGCAGGCGACGACGCAGAAGCTGCAGGAGTTCCTGGCCCGCCTCGACGACGAGCGGCTCAAGATCGACGCCTTCAAGCGCGAGCTCCCGCTCTGCATGCAGCTCCTCAACCAAGGTAATTAACGTGCCGAACTGCCCATGCATGTGTGCTTACGTGGAAGGGTGATGGAGCTCTGCCTGACTGAATAATGCATGTGTGGGTGCAGCTATGGAGGCCTACAGGCAGCAGCTGGAGGCGTGCCAGATGGGGAGCCATGGCGGCGCGGCGGCGAGGGCGCCGCTGGTGCTGGAGGAGTTCATCCCGCTGAAGAACATCGGGATCGACGCGGCGGAGAAGGCGGCCGGGAACGCGCCGTCGGAGAAGGCGAACTGGATGGTGTCGGCGCAGCTGTGGAACGGGCCGGCTGCGGGGGACGCGGCGGCCAAGGGCCCCCAGACTCCCAAGGAGCGCTCGGAGCACCCGCTCGACACGAGCCCCATGCTCGGCGGGCTCGACGGCGGCGGCGGCAACGGTGTCGGCGCCTTCCTCCCGTTCACCAAGGAGAAGGCCTGTATGGCGGAGAGCGCGGCGCTGCCGGAGCTCGGGCTCGCGCCCGCGGAGAAGGACCGGGAGGCTGACAGAAAGCCGTACCACGACGACGGCGGCAGCAACGGCACTGTAGTCTCGCGGAGAGACGTCGGTGCACCACCGACGTCGACGCCGCCGGAAGGGCAGTCGGTGCCGCCAGCTCCGCAGACGAACCGGAAGGCCCGGCGGTGCTGGTCGCCGGAGCTGCACCGCCGCTTCGTCAATGCCCTTCAAATCCTGGGCGGCGCTCAAGGTATGCACACAGACGTCCACATGCATCAAATTAACCAGCTGAATCTGAACGAACTACATGTGTACCAAAGATTCTAAACCTCCTTTGTTGTTTGCAAATTGATTAAAGTGGCGACCCCGAAGCAGATCCGAGAGCTGATGAAGGTGGATGGATTGACCAATGATGAGGTGAAAAGCCATCTCCAGGTAATTATAATCTCATCATCACGCATCTTGCATTCTCTCTTCGTAGTACGTTCCAGTTATTATGCATGCTGCTGCTTTCATTATGATGAGTAGAATGATTAACTGATTATTATATGAACACATGAGACATGGGTGTGTATCTAATTTTTAGTTTTTGTTTGTGTTGCGAGCAGAAGTACAGGTTGCACACGCGGCGGCCGATGCCGGCACCGTCGGCGCCGCCGCCGGGGGCACCGCAGCTGGTGGTTCTCGGGGGCATATGGATGCCGCCGGACTACGCGGCGCAGGGGGCGGGACCGGCCGGCATCTATGGGGCGCACCCGGCAACGCAGGCGCACTACACGGCGGCAGTGTCGGCGCAGGAGTACTACCAGAACGCAGCCGCGGCCGCCCACCACGGCCACCACATGCAGCACCACCAGGCGGCCTCCATGGTGCACCACCGCGCGGTGGCACCTCCGCCCCCGCAGCCCGCCTACAAGGTGCACCCGTTGTCCGCAGCAGGGTCCCAGGCGTCATCGGAGGGCCGGCGTAGCAGCGGCGGCGGCAGGGAGAGGTCGGAGAGCATTGAGGAGGAGGGCGAGGAGCGGGAGGACGAGGAGGACGAGGACGAGGACGGCATGGCGGCGAACGGCGACGCCGAGCAGATCAACTACTAATTAAGTAGCGCGCGCACCGATTAGCTAGCCCCTAATTAAGAAGTTGGTATAACGAGATTGTTTTCTGTCCGGAAAGTGATTTTTTGGCGCGGAGAACGGAAGCCGGTCTCTGGCTTGAGTGGAGCAGCGGGAGCCTGAGATTGTCTCATTCGTGATGTGATCGATATACGGATGGATTTGTGAGGGCTTTTCTCTCCTTCTTTTTTCTTCCCCTTCTCTTTGGGGCTTTGTTTTTGTGCTAGCAAATAATTTGGTAAATATGTCATGATGGAAATATGACTAGCTTTTGTACACTTGTTGGAGGAAGAGATGATTATTTGGGAGATGTGTCTACTCAGCTTTAGGGCTGGCAGTGTGTTTGTTCCTTGGTTTAAAGTTTAAACGGTGTGAATTGTCAGTAAGCAATGATGGAAGACTATTGTTGTAGTGAATAAATGGTTCCTGAATACCTCTCATTTGTATCGTAACCTGTCTTTACCTCTCGGGTAGTCGGGTGGATGTTTGCCTGATATTCAAAGTGAATTCCTTTCACTTTTAAAAGTTTTTTTTACTCTTTTTGTACGAAAGTTTACAAAGATAGATGGTATAGCACGATAACTGGTTGCATATCTTTCCTACTTCTAAAGTTTTGAGTTGGTAGTCATCCATTCACCTATGTTAATAGGGTTTCTAAACAGTGTTAAAACATATATGAAAAAATGTTTTATATGTAGACATAAAAAATATAATGTGTATGAAAACAAATAGGCGCCAACACATATATTAGAAAAAAATATTGATCATGTATTTGAAAAATATTAAACACGTATTAAAAGATATACCTTTTTTTGAACATCAGTAAAGACACAAGCGCTCATACACACGCGCATACACTCACCCATATGAACGCACACACGCACACCCTACCCCTACGAGCACCTCCGAAAGACTGAGCCGGTATATCATCTTAAAATTTACGAAGTCACCGTAGGCACCTCATCGTCGACGGGAACGTCTCCTCCCACTGAATGCGCATCGCCGGAAATTCTGAAATAAATCCAGGAATAAATGCGAGCACCAGGATTTGAACCATGGACTGGGGATACCACAGTCCCTCTACACCATCCAACCACAGGTTGGTTCACATTAAAAAATATACCTGGTGTACAAGAAAAATGTAGATTTGGGTAAAAATTATCGACCATGTATTTGAATAAGTGTTTAGAACCATGTATTACAAGGAAAATGTACATCACATATTTAAAAAATCAATGTATATCAAAAAATATTTATCATGCACACAAAAAATGTATATTATCAAAGAAAAGTATATATGTGTTAAAATAAAAGAAAGCCGTTAAAAACTGACAAAGAAACAAAAAGAAAAGCGGAGAAAACCAAAGAAAAGGAAGAAAGAAACAAAAAAACTAAAGTATGACGAATAAAGAAAGGAAAATGAAAGAAAACCTGTAAAAACGAAAAAATAAAAATCAAAGTTATGACAAAAAAACTAAGAAACAAAATAAAACTGTAGAAAAAAAAGGAATAAACAATAAAAGAAAACGAAGCAGAGCAAACCGGCAACGAGCGAACCTACTACAGCGAGCAGCTGCGGGCGAACCTACGCTATTGGGCCGGGTGATATGCACGCACCCTTCAGCGAGAGGATCTGCTACTGCTCTGTTGTGATGAATTTTAAAAAAATTTATTTGAAAATTTCTGTGAATACAAACAATGTTTGTAAATTCAAAAAATTGTGGTGAATTTGAAACTATTTACGAATCTAAAAATTTCCATGAAGTCAAAAACATTTAGTGAATTTTCAAAATGTTTACAAAATAGAAAAAAGTTTGCAAAATAAAACAATTGTGAATTCAATTAATGTCCATCGATTTAAAAATAAACTATCTGGATTTTTTCACAAAATAAAGAAAATATCACGAACTTGAAAAAATGTCCACAGATTTGAAAAACTACACAAATTTTAAGAAAAGGAATGCAAAAAACAAAAACCGAGTTAAAAACCCGAAAAAAGGTAAACAAAGAAAAGAAATAACTAAGCCGAAAGCCTCAACAAATCTGAAAAGAGGGGTGGAGCTAGATAGATCGTCCCATTATAGCATGTCGCTCAGTTAGATGGGCTGCCTTTAACCTGTTGGACAGTATTTGGTAGGAAGCATCATAGGTAAGTGTGCGGGCTGGCTTCATGTTGAGTAATTTTCATCTATGTTTAGGACCTGTTGTGGTGTAAATTCTGAAAATACGTATATTTGTGATAATGTTGAGGTGTACAGGTTGTCGAAGATGCAAACGGGTGTACACACAAGGTTTATACAGGCTTAGGTCCTTTTCGGTGGAGGTATTACCCTACTTCCTGTTTGGTGTTTCTCGCTGGTGTGTGTGTATGCGCGAATACAAAGGATGTGAACCCCCAGCCCAATGCCCTACCTTCTCTTTGCCATTAAGGAAGGGTACAACGTCCGATAATACTGGCACTGATAACGCCCCTTTGATGCCCTACCTTCCCTTTGCCATTAAGGAGGGGTACAACGACCGATAATACTGGCACTGATAATGACCCTTTGATGCCCTCATGTTTCTACTAGTATTTAGTACAATACGTAAAACATGTAACAAATGTGTCATGGATCTTGTGGGAGATGTTGCTACCTCTTGAGCATGCGTTGGTTTTCCTTTAAATAGAAAAGGGTGATGCAACAAAGTAGCGTAAGTATTTCCTTCATTTTTTTAGAACCAATGTATCAATCCAGTAGGAGATAACACGCAAGTCCCCTAGTACCTGCACAAACAATCAAGAACCTCACAACCAACGCGATAAAGGGCTTGCCAATCCCTTCACGATCACTTGCGAAAGTGAGATCTGGTAAAGATAGTAAGATAAATATTTTTGGTATTTTTGTTGTATAGATTGGAAAGTAAAGATTGCAAAATAGTAAACGAGATGTGATGTAAATAAAATGAGATGCAATATAATAAGAAAGAGACCCGGGGGCCATAGGTTTCACTAGTGGCTTCTCTCATGATAGCATGTATTACGGTGGGTGAACAAATTACTGCCGAGCAATTGATCGAAGATCGCATAGTTATGAGAATATCTAGCCAATGATTATGAATATAGGCATCACGTCCGTGTTAAATAGACCAAAACGATTCTGCATCTACTACTATTACTCCACACATCGACCGCTATCCAGGATGCATCTAGAGTATTAAGTTCATAAGAACAGAGTAACACTTTAAGCAAGATGACATGATGTAGAGGGATAACTCAAGCAATATGATATAAACCCCATCTTTTTATCTTCGATGGCAACAATACAATACGTGCCTTGCTACCCCTACTGTCACTGGGAAAGGACACCGCAAGATTGAACCCAAAGCTAAGCACTTCTCCCATTGCAAGAAAGATCGATCTAGTAGGCCAAACTAAACGATAATTCGAAGAGACTTGCAAAGATATGAAATCATGCATATAAGAATTCAGAGAAGAACCAAATATTATTCATAGATAAACTTGATCATAAATCCACAATTCATCGGATCTCGGCAAACACACCGCAAAAAGTATTACATCATAGATCTCCAAGAACATCGAGGAGAACTTTGTATTGAGAACCAAAGAGAGAGAAGAAGCCATGTAGCTAATAACTATGGACCCAAAGGTCTATGGTAAACTACTCACACGTCATCGGAGAGGCTATGGTGTTGATGTAGAAGCCCTCCTGATCGAATCCCCCTCCGACAGATCATCGGAAAAGGCCCTAGATGGGATCTCACGGGTACAGAAGGTTGCGGTGGTGGAAAAGTGGTTTCGTGGCTCTCCATGATGTTTTTAGGGTATAAGAGTATATATAGGCGAAAGAAGTACGTCGGTGGAGCTCTGTGGGGCCCACGAGGGTGGGGGGCGTGCCCTCCTATCTCGTGGACGCCTCATGGAATTTCAGACTTCCACTCAAAGTCTCCTAGTTTGCGTTTGTTCCAAGAAAGATCCTCGTGAAGGTTTCGTTCAGTTTGATATTCCTTTTCTGCGAAGCACTAAAATAGGCAAAAAAAACAGAAACTAGCACTAGGCCTCCGGTTAATAGGTTAGTCCCAAAAATAATATAAAAGAGCATATTAAAGCCCATTAAACATCCAAAACATATAATATAACACCATGGAACAATCAAAAATTATAGATACGTTGGAGGCGTATCAAGCATCCCCAAGCTTAATTCATGCTCGTCCTCGAGTAGGTAAATGATAAAAATAGAATTTTTGATGTGGAATGCTACCTAACATAATTTCAATGTAATTTTCTTCATTGTGTCATGAATGTTCAGATCCAAAAGATTCAAGACAAAAGTTTAATATTGACATAAAAATAATAATACTTCAAGCATACTAACCAAGCAATTATGTCTTCTCAAAATAACATAGCCAAAGAAAGCTCATCCCTACAAAATCATATAGTTTGGCCATGCTTCATTTTCGTCACACAAAATGCTCCCATCATACACAACTCCGATGACAAGCCAAGCAATTTTTTCATACTTAGCATTCTCAAACGTTTTCAACTTTCACGCAATATATGAGCGCGAGCCATGGACATAACACTATAGGTGGAATAGAATGATGGTTGTGGAGAAGACAAAAAAGAGGAAGATAGTCTCACATCAACTAGGCATATCAATGGGATATGAAGATGCCCATCGATAGATATCAATGTGAGTGAGTAGGGATTGCCATGCAACAGATGCACTAGAGCTATAAGTGTATGAAGGCTCAACAAAAGAAACTAAGTGGGTGTGCATCCAACTTGCTTGCTCATGAAGACCTAGGGAAATTTGAGGAAGCCCGTCATTGGAATATACAAGCCAAGTTCTATAATGAAAAATCCCCACTAGTATATGAAAGTGAAAACATAAGAGAGTCTCTATCATCAAGATCATGGTGCTACTCTGAAGCACGAGTGTGAAAAAAGGATAGTAACATTGCCCCTTCTCTCTTTTTCTCCCATT